TCTTCTCTGGACTTTGGGCACACATACATGTGCCCAGTATGTTTTTCAAGCCACCAGGTCAAGGACTTGCATGACAATCGGCCTGTAAAGTCCAATGCCTAAACTACCACACCACTTGCTGGCCCCTAACTGTATATTTTAATAATCAATTTTGGGCCCAGCCAGGGAATAAAGTCCATAGCATACTGGACTAAAGTGCGGAAAGCCACATGGCTGACCACAAGTTTGGATCGCCAGGTGGGCCTATAAACTCGCAGGTGTGAGGGCAGGGAAAGGGGACCACAGTGTGATGAAATGCTGTTGAAGGTACTCCTCTCTTTCATGTACACACACCTGCTATCAAAAAAATTTTTTTAAATATATCATTTGGCGCAGAACATAAATGTTCATTTAATGTAGGGATCAAAGAGACAGTCTTCTTTTCTAATGGGGAGAAATGGGGCATTGGGCTAGCTTAAAGACATTTCAGTCTCCAAAGGAGCATCTCCTTAAGGGATTTTCACAGGTAACTCTGCTCAAAGCGGTGCGTGTCTCTCCCTGCCAGCACAATAAGATCAGTGACCGAGAGAGGAGCCAGGGTTTCTGCTAACCAGACAGGAACTGAAAAGGTCTGGCTGAAGCTTTTATTAGCCCCTTCCACCCACACAGCTGCAGCAGGCTTTCCTGAGCGTGGTTTGCAGACCAAATTTCAATACACCATGAGGAAGGAGAGGATGTCCTTCAGCAGGTGTTTTGGCCAGACCCCTCCCCATACCCGGGAGCAAAGAAAACAGAGAGTTGGGGGAGGCAACTGGAAGAGGTGGGTTCCCAGTGGCCACAGGGACTTTTCTGGCTTCTCTCTGGAAGGGCCCTTGTCAGGCTCGCCAGCTGTCAGCCCTGCCAGGGCACAAGGGTGGACCAGGACAGGATGGGAGAGACAGAGCAGAGCCTTGACAGCCACAGAATTCTGTCTGGGTAGAGGCACCGAATCCCAGAATGTCCTAGTTAGGAGCCTTAGAGGTGACCTGCCCAAATCCCTCATTAACAGAAGAGGACGCTCTCTAGGACTTGCCCTGGTCACACAGGGCAGGGCCAGACCTAGAGCAGGTTTCCCCTACCAGCCCAGGGCTTTCCACCTGCAGGACGCTGCCCACTACCTCTCTCCATCTTCTTCTCTGCCCTCCCAGGAGCTCAGCCCGTCCCTACACTGCTGTCTGATCCCACCAGGACCCTTAGCAGCTGCTGGCTCTCACCCCTGCTCCACTCCCCTGGGAAGGGAAGCCAGCACCTCAGTGTCAGCAGAGCAGGAGCTCCTGGGTAGCCAGCCTGCCAGACCCCGCTGCCTGGAAAAGGGAACCCAGGAGAGAGCAGGCTCAACCCCAGGTTTCCAGGGAGGACCTGCCCCAGAGCTGCAGATGAGGGGCAGCTGGGGGGAAGGTGGAAGAGGTTGGAGAGAAGGGAGCAGCAGGGCTCTGATCCACTGACAAAGGAGGCAGATGGGGAAGGGGAGGGGAGGGGAAGGGAAGGGAGGGGAAGGAAAAGTAGGAGAAGGAGGAAAAGAGAAAGAGGGAGAGGGAGAAGGAATCCAGGGACAGTGAGGTAGTTCACAAGGCAGAGTTAAAAATTCCCTTGAAGGCATGGGGGTTAAGGTGGCTGGATCCCACATGGCTGATTGCATGGTTTAAGTCCCAGAATCTTAAAAAACACACCAGATGGGTGGATGCATACACAAAATTTAGAGAAGAATGAAGAAGAGATTACAACATGACCACCACCCCCCTTTTTAGTGTGGGGAGAGAAGGAGGGTGCTTTCTCACTTCCCCTCTCTCTGTGTCTCTCTCCTCTCCAGTAAGCACACAATGCCCTTTGGCAGAAAATAAGGGGGGGGGGAGGAGAGATGGCACATTTAAAAATTCACTTAAATAATATAAAATTTAAAACTTGTAATCAAAATAAAATGAGTTTGTTTTTCTGTCATGTCTCCCTGCCACACACTGGAAAACCAACAGCAACTGAATTTCATCTCACGCATCAAAGTCACATTCCACCTCTCAGTGCTGTCTCCACTCCTCCATGGTATCTAGAGCCCGCCATGCAGGGACCCTTTCTCCTCCAGCCCTCCTCACCTCAGCCGGGCATTCAGAAAGTGCTATGATCATTAAAGGCTCAAGGGCACAAGGGAATCCCAGAGCGCAAGTGCCCCCCAGGCTGGTAACCGTCTGGGAAATTACAGTGTGAACTGAGCCAGCCCCCGGCCACCGCCTTCCATTCAACAGATCCCCTTCCAAACACACATCCAGGAGTGAGTTTCAGGTTTTTAGAATGGTAAGGACAAATTCTTTATCATCACCCTCACCAACACTCCCTTATCACCAATTCCATTCCCAAAGCGGGATGAACTTGAAAAAGGACAAATCCAGAAACGAGGGGCTTCAGGCTTCCCGAAAGGACGCAGAGCAAGTGAGAGGCAATGTTCCTTCCAAGGACCCAAGGACGCCTCTTACCAAACTCTACACAGGGTGTCCAGGCACATTCACTACCATGGAGGTCGGGCCTATGGGAAAATAATTTCAGTCATTCCCAGTTCCTGCTGGACTAAAGGGAGAGACTCAGTTCTTCCTGTGTGCATAGACAGCCAGTCCCTAAAATAAGAAGCAGAAGGAGGGCTCTGATCCACAGACAAGCGAGGCTAACGGGGAAGGCGCAGGGGAGGGGAGAATGAATCGAAATTCATTCTCTCTCCCTCTCTCTCTCCTTTCCTTCTTTCTCTTCCTACTTCCTTCCTTATATTTTTGTTTTGTTTTATTTTAGCTTTTTGGGGGGTTTTCTTTGTTTTTTTGGTCTTTTTTAGGTTTGTGCCATAGGGCATGTGTGCTCAAAGGAGAGCAACAGAAGACAGAGAGGAGGAAAGTGAGAAATCACCCCCCATAGGGACAGCCATGCCACAATCCCTTTTCTTCTATTCTCTTCTTGGGATTTTGTGCACCCACACACCCATGCCCAGTGTGATTTTCAAGACTCGGTCTGGGACTCAAACCACAGTCAGTCGTGTGGAAGTCTAGCGCCTTAACCTCCATGCCCCCTTCTGGCCCAATGTTTTTTTCTTTTTTTTGTAATCTTCCAAACCCAATGTCTAAGGAGAAAATTCTATACAAGTGAACACATTTTTACACTGTAAAAATAGTATTGAAGTAGATAAAGCCTAAGATACCTCATTAAAGGAGGTCTAACCCCTCCCTACTGCAAAGCTCAATGTCCATTCAAGGCATCCTATTTTACACATCTCTCTAATTATTTAAATCTTATGTAATTCTTTGCAAGTTCATTAAGAGACTGAGCTGCTAAATAAAAAAATATATAATAAAAGCCTTCACCAACTTTGTATTCACTAGGCCTTATTATTTCCTCAGTAGTTTTTTTGTTTTGTTTTGCTTTTCTAGAGAGAGGCTTTTTTTTTCCTATAGGGCACATCCGCTCACCACAGAGACAGAGAGATAGAAAGCAAGAATCACCATCCAGGAGGAAAGGCCGTGCTACAAAAGGCCACGCTACAATCCCTTCTCCTCCATTCTCCTCTTGGGATTTGGGGCACACAGGCACACGTGCTCAGCTTGTTTCAAGCCGCCAGGTCTGGGACTTGAACCATGGTCAACCATGTGGGAGGGGTCGAAGTAGCCATTACACCATCTCCTGGTCCTATTCTCATTAGTTTTTAACACTGTTTGACATACAAACATAACAATCCTCCATAAAGTCATGAATGTCATGTACAGCCTCTGTCAGGACAGTGTTTCTTTCAGTTCCCTTTTTAGCTTAACTCCCTCTTTTCTCTACTTCCTCCTCTTATTTTTCTCCCCAGTAATATAAAATGTTATAATAATAAATAAGAGATGGGTTTTCTCCTAAAGTCCCTATCAATAATCTACCAAATCCTCCCACTTTTCAACACATGTTTATAAACACTGGGTATATTGACACCCTGGAGTTTGTGAGGCTGCTTCTCCTTTTATTTAAAAAAATAAGGATTTCATTGTATTCATCTGCCTGGATCTTGCTCACGCATCTCACCTCATCCCTCCCAGGGAACCAGGACATTTCTAAGGCTATAATGTTCCATGTACAGATACTCCTCAGTTTGTTCCATAGCCCGCAAATTCATCAGGATCTCCTCTATTTTCCTAGGGAAAATTTTGTTGGAGTCTTGCCCAAGACCACACTGTGACAAACATGGTTTCACTCAGAATGCCCGAGGCTGACAGCATTTTGCAGTAGGAGAGACATTCAATGGGATTATAAAGAGCCAAAGTCTTGCATCTTGCTTTTACCTGAAGATAAATTCTTTTCAGCATTTCAAAATGAAAACTAACACTGAGATAAAACGCAAATTTGACAATCAATTTTAAGATGAACTCGAGGCCTTCAAGGACCCTGATCTGCTCAAAGCTGAGCCCTAATTCCAGGTGAGAGACATGCTCACTCTCCTTTCTCAGGGAAGAAGCTCAAGAAGCCAGACCAGCAGGGCTGCGTCCAGCTCAGGCACCGGGTTCTAGTCCCCTCCACTCAGCTGCACAGACCCTCAGGACCTGGTGAGCTCCTGGCCAGGAGTGCAGGTTCCCCCCACCACCCTCACCTCTCTCTCTCTGCCTCCCCAGTAACACAGCACAAGCGCCTCACCTCCCTGGTGATGATTCTCTAATGCACCTGCCCTGGCTCAGGATTCCTAGCCTCGGGGCCACCAAAAGGCCATTTTGTTCTTTTGCCCACAACTTCTCACTCAGATAACTGACAGTTAAATAAGAAATGAAATGACCTTTCTGAACACGATAGGAACTGAGGAGAGCCACTGTTCACCCCAGGACTCGAAACTGCATATGCTACTTCTACAAATTGTAACACAGTGGTTTTCTCCATTCTCCCTCCAGAAATCTCAGAGCCTGAACTGCCCTCCCAGAGCACAGGAGCCCCCAGCCATCCCAGCCCTGCCCAATTGTCCTCCCTTCACAGGAGCCCAGACCACTCACTGAGGAGGAGGCTGACGACTCCCAGGAGCCAGGCAGCCCTGCAAGGGTGGAGGTATCCTGAGCAGGGCCCCATGGCAGGCTGCCGGCTGGGCTGTTCAGCTGCACAGAAAACATCCGACTATGGAGGTGAGAGAGGAAGGGAAGCCTAAGCACTGAGAGCCCTCAGGGCTTCTCCCCCCACCCCACCCCACCCCGGGGCGGGGCCTGCAAGCTAAAGCCTGTTATCAACTTTCCTCAGCCTCATCACCTCCAGGACACAATCAGTAACAACTGAAGAATAAATGCATGAAAGACCACACTCAGCACTCAGCGGTGCCTGGCGTCATGGTGGAGAGGCTCACCACCTCTCTGGGTCCAGCCTGCTTGGCTCCTCCTAGGATCAGTGCCTGTCCCAGTTCCTACTACATCAATGAGTTAAATTTCTTTTCTGATTTTCCAAAAAGCTTCAACTGTCAGTTGCCTGAGTAAGAAGCTGTGGGCAAAAGAGCAAAAGGTTCTAGTAAAAACTGTCAACCTCCCACCTCCCTAATGCAAATATTGGTATTTACCTAGAGCCATATGGCTTCCCTAGCTGACACTGATGTAGTCGCCTCTCTGTCTACTCAAGGCGCAGCCAAACCTCACAGAAGCTGATAGGCTGGATGGAACATGGCTTTCCCTTTAAGGCTCTGTGAGCCCTGCTCCTGCTAACGCAAAGGGGCAAGGGAGAAAACTGCGCACTCCCTCTGGCCACAGCCTAAGCTCTCTCCTGCTCACTGTCACTGTCTGAGGCTCAGGTCTGCTTCTCTGTAGACCTGGACACTCCACATCTGAGAGCTGTCCAAGAGTGCTGTTCCTAACTCCTGGACAGTGCCTCCTTCTTTTCCCCACCTAGACTTCCACTCCAGCTGCCCAGCAGAACACCTGGCACCTAAGGAGATGGAGAACTGTCGATGCAAATAATAGACTAAGAAAATATGAGGAATGAGATGAGATACGATGCAGGTTCTGAAAAGCTCAGGCATGCCTCACATTCCTAGAAATCAAGAAGTCCCAGCAGGAGCACAGGGCTGTGTGGGTGTTCGTGAGAGCTCCGGGAAGTCCCTGATACCCCCGTCTGGACCTGTAGGACCAGGCCACCACCGTAACCTCAAGGTGTCCAGGTTACTGCTTAGTAAGCCCATCTTATGGATGTGAAATCCGAGCCATTGAGGTGTGATAAGATCTGTAAAATGTCACCTGGCTAAGCGAGGTGGGCAGGGCTCCTGATCACCTGGACTCCAGCAAAACAGCTCTGCAGATTCCAGACAAGAGTAAGTATTCAACAGTGCCTGATCCTCCTTCTCCCTCTCAAAATAATGGAGAAACTACTTCAAAAGGCAATCTAGGAATCCTACAGTGAGAAACTGGCTCTTACATGAGTGGAAATCTGGACAGCTCACGCCCTGCCGACCCTCAGGACGATCGGGATCCAGTCTCACGAGGCAGCACCACACGGCGTCCATGGAGCACTGCTGAGAGGGATTCTTCTTTGGCAGCCATTTGAGTCTGAGAATGATTTGTGTGAGGGGAGGAGGGAAGAGAGGAAACCAGTAATGTGGCTGGAAGCCAGGAGCCCTCTGTGCTGCCAAAGTACCAGAAACGTTCTAAAACACCAGGCACTGAATCTCATTTTCTTTTAAGAGAGAGATTTTTGCTATAGGGCATATGCACTTGCCAAAGAGACAGAGAGAGACAGAGAGACAGACTGGCAATGCGTGAGCTGTCCAGATTTCCACTCACGGCTGTTCCCTGAGGTGGGGGAAGGTTAGACCCTAAACGAAGGGAAGGTTAGAATAGACGCTCTGAGTTTTGGTCTTTCCTTGACTATCCAACCTAGGAGAAAGAGAAGACCTCCCCCCTAGCTCAGCCCTGCAAGGTGTGCAGTGGGAAGCCCCAGAGCTGGGCTCAGAAAGGAGCAGACAGCAGCAGGTGTAGTCACAGTCAGTTGGTCCCTGTCCCTCCTCCCCACCTTTCCTCCTCCTCTGTTGCCCAAATTACTATGTGCTAGTAAAAGAGGGAAAAAAGTGTGTGTGTGTGTGTGTGTATATATATATATATCACCATTTTTAACTATAAATACACAGAACTAAAACTTTTGAAAATAACACTATGATGGGCAGGGTGGTTTCGATGGCTCATTCATGGAAAAGTATGCAAATATTGGACAACTTTAGCCATTGTGGAAAAATAATGAACAATTTAATGTGTATATTAAAATGTGAAGGGTAAAAAATATAAAGAGATTCAAAAATGTTCTCCTCCAAAGGGAAAAATATAGCCCAGGGAAGCTCTCAGCAGTGGTCTCCTCTAAGATCAAGGCATAAATAATTACTCAGGCACATTTCAGCTGGAATTTCCAAGAAAGAACACTTGAAATCACCAAGGAGAGATCTTAACTTTTCCAAAACATAAAAACTTGAGAGAAGCAGCATAGAAGGGGAACTACAGCTCCAGCCAGCTGAGATCAGCAGGATAGAATCAGCGGAAATTCCCCTGTGCTGGGAGGGAGGAACAAGAATTCCCCACAGCCTCTGCTATCACCATAGATTACATTCTCTGCTGCCTGGGAGTTCAACAATCTGCACATTCCTAGGATCCACAGGGCTGTATAACTTTAGTGGGGAATCGCACCCCACTTAACCCCATCTCCTAGTACCTGAGCAGCTACAGAGTGACAGCATTCTGAGAATAGAGCAATTGCTGAACTAACACCTGCACTGAGGACCTAGGCTGGCAAGTCTTCACATCCCCAAGAACCTGCTGAAATCCCACCAGAACTGCATGGATGGCTGCAGTGACCACCCCAGCTAGACCGAACCCAAGCCTGGACAGCATTATATACTCCAGAACACAGATGGACCAGAGCACCAGGACTGCTCTGAGGAACAGGTAGACAGAAGCAGGAGCCCACTACCTAGTCCGGCTTATGCTGCAGCTCCAGCACATGACACATCGCCCTAGCTGGACCCTCCAATCTCTGATACCAAAGCTTCCAGCTTGTCCTGGGCACAGAACACATGAACATATAGCTCCTGCCCCCTTAGGAGCCCCTTTGTCCCCCACAAGCAGTGCCTGGCTCCCCTTGGACCCAGCTCTCATGTTTCTCAAGCATATTACCCCTGTCTCACGTGGGAGCTCTCTAGCCTGAGCTCCCACGGCCCTTCACTTGCCCTGTGAAGTCCCACAGCACCTCAGAGCAAAGGCCCCAGCTTCTGCCGGAGGCCTGCAGGAGCACAGGTCTCTGTGATAGATAGGAGCCAAGACCGATACACACTACTGCTTGAACATATGGACCCATCCTCAGTGTGGGAGCCCTTCAGACTCAGCAAGGCATCACTCCTGACAGTGCTGAGCAAAACACCCACCATACCTGCAGCCCATGAATCCTACTTCTAGCAAGGGCCCTCCAATCTCTACAGGCTGGCATTCTTGGCCAAATTCCTTCTCATCCAAGGTATCGGCTCCCTCTCCACTCCTGAGGTTAACAAGGTCACTAAAGTCTGTAGGCCAACAGCCGTGGCCGCTACCACTTCCTTCAGCCAACTGGCTCACTGAGTGCTTCCTGCAACCAACAAAACTGCATCACTACTACTACAAACACACAAATCTAGAACCCAAGGCACTCACTCCTGCCAATGAATACAGTAGAAGAAAACTCGTGGAGACTACACGTATCAACATAAAAAAATCTGTAGTGGTTTTGTACTGTAGCAATGATTGAACTCAAGCAGAAATGAAAAAGTGAATTTTATTTACAATAGCACCCCCCCAAAAAAATCGAAATAAATCCAACCCAAAAAAGTAAGAGATCTTTACTATCAAAATTATTTTTACAACTGAATAGAAAAATTGAAAAAGGCATGAAAATGGGACCAGGAGTTTTCATAATGGCTGTGTCACTGGACTTCCATGTAGTCAATCACAGTTTGAGTCCCAGACCCAGTGGCTTAAACTCATGCCAAGTGCATGTGTGCCCACGATCCCAAGAGGAGAATGGAGGAGAAGGGATTGCGGTGTGGCCATCCCCTGGGGGAGTGATATCTCTCTTTCTGTCTCTCTGTCTCTCTCTGGCTTTCTGGCGAGTGCCCTGTAGCAAAAACCTCTTAAAAAAAAAAATATATATATGAAAAAAGAGGAAAGACATCCCTGTTCAGGGATTGGAAGGATCAAATTAAGACGTCAAAACTACCCAAAAGTGATCTATAGATTCAATGCAATTTCTATTAAAATTCCAGCAACATTTTCAGAGAAATAGAAAAAGCAATCATAAAGTTTGTCTGGAATCATGAAAGACCCTGTATCAACAAACAATACAATACCAAAAAAGAGTAAAGTTGAAGGCATCTCACTGACTCACTTTAAAATATACAACAAAGCCATAATAACAAAAAGTGTGATACTGGCATGAAAACAGACATGTAGACCAATGGAACAGAATAGAGAATCCAGAAATAAACCCAACAACATACAGCCAAATGATTTTTCACAAAACACACAAGACAATACAGTGGAGAAAAGATAGTCTTTTTGACAAATGGTGCTAGGAATACTTTTCAACAAATGAATATCCATCTGCAGAAAATGAAACATGATTACCATTTGTAAAAATTAATTCAAAATAGATTAAAGATACCCCAAATCATAGAACAAATGAAGGAAAATACTGGAGAGAGACTTGAAAATACTGAATTCATTGAATAAGACCTCTAAAGCCAGGGCACTAACACCAAAGTAGGTAAGTGGACTAATATTAAGCTACAAAGCTTCTGAGCAGCAAAAGAAACAGTAAATAGAGTAAAGAAACAACCAATAGACTGGGAGAAAATATTTACAAACTGTATTTCAGAGAAAGATCAACAAGCAGAATATATAAGGAACTAAAACTGCCAAAAAAAAAAAAAAAAAAAAAAACAATAATCCAATCAAAATAGTCAATCAACCTGAACACACAACTCTCAAGGGATGACATACAAGTGGTTAAAAAGTACATGAAAAAATGTTCAGCATCTCTTATCGTAAGGAAAATGTAAATCAAAACCACAATGAGGTATTGCCTAACCCCAGTCAAATAGCTATGACAAAAACAAATTTTTTAAAGTTGACCAGGCTGAAATTTATGCGCT